TTTAGTTTTATGAACGTGACAAATTACAACGTTAATGTAAAAAATGGAGTTGCTTTATCTTTTAGATTTTTTTCCCAGTACTTTTATAAACCGTCTAATCAGACCTTAAATATTTATTTTTGTTAAGCTTGTGGTTGCTCTCTTCGCTAAACTGGGCGACGAAATTGAACCGAACGTTGTTCTAAAGAGCACACAAATGTGCTTAGTCTACATGTAGTTGGGGGTCAAAGTCTCCCTTGCGTTGGCTAGAATCCAACTTTAGATTGATATTGACATGCTGATCAATCAAAAAGAGATTTCCATCGTTCTTTAGATAGTCATTCTCCACCCTCTTAACGTTTGTGGAACTAATGAAAAGGTGCTCCAAATGATTTGAGGGTCTTTCTTACATTCCGACCTTTCTTGCTTTATTTTATTTTCCCTCTGTGCAGATAAACGATGGGCGGCTGTATTTGTATTTCCTACAAAACAGCTATCGTTATGTAATCTTTGCGTAATGGCCATTCTTTATAGGCAGTTTACTTTCCAATATGAACTCTCTTTTGTTGACGTCAGTTAAAGAATTGACAGATTAAAATATGTGTAAATAGAATTTAACAGATCCACTGATAAATTAACCGGAGGTCCCACGCTACTTAACTTAAACTATTTAAAACGGATTTATATATCATCAATTAATTTTGCGTCATCATGGTTACAGCAGAACCCGGATATAATCCCCGTTATCATATCTGTGAATAAGAACGTTCACATGTCGCCCTGCGATACTGTGCGATCATGCATACCGTTAGATCCTTGTGTGTTAAATGTACTCTAGCCGTTCTAATTCAAGCATTTTCAATTTCAGTGAAGTAATAAAATTCACGATTAATAGACATCTTTGTTTTTGAAGGTCATTCAAACCACGTGTTGCCCTTTTTAATAGCTATTTCAATGACAAATTTATTGATTTTAATGACTTTTAAATTTGTTAGCGGATTATGGTTGCCCGTAAACTCTTTTGACATATTGATAGCCACATCGGCATCTGTACAGTAGTAAACGACTTGATTAGCTTCTATTCATTTATCGCTTCTACCTGTAATTAAATCGATGGGACGCAACTCTCGGCCTTGCTGAACTCCTCTTGTGTCAACAGTCAACATTCAGTTTACCGCGATCACAATTTTCACCGTGATGACAAATTTGATAGAAAATGACGTCATTAAATAAAAGCTACCGGTGGTAAAGCTTTTGTCAAATAGTTTGTAATGTTTACAGAAATGTGGACCATGTTATTTTTAGAAGCAATGTAACTACCAAGTCATCTATGAGCTTTCATTGTTTTTTCATCTGGTGCAATGTTTTCACTTCAAAGAGGTCTTCAGGGATCGAAATCGTTTTCTATTTGCATTGGCCCGTACATCTAGTTTTCTATCAATCTCTTGTTCGGGGTGGGGGGGGTGAATATAAAAACTTCAATAAAACCGATCCAATCCAAAAAGGGATTGAATCTATCTCCCCACCCCCAACCTAGCCTTCGAAAGCATTGTGTCGACAAACCCCGTTACTTTCCTTTCTATTGTCACTGGTTTATCAACAAAGTAATGACTTCTTGGAAATTGTCTCACATACGGATTACCCTTGTGGTTTGTTTTTGCTAAATTACTCATTGAAAATAAATTTAATTTGTAACCTTATTAGGTTGTATAGGGCTTCTACTTTATATGTTCACAATTTGTTAGTGATGTGTTACTGTTTTACAAATTGTCTACCTATAACTTAATGGTAAATATTATATAGGAATTCATCACGTTTAACCGTTTAGTTAATTGACACCTTTTTTCATGTGTTCACAATCGCCCGTAAGAAACCCCTCGGAGGAAAATTGCAAATAAGAAAAGAATTAAGTGGATAATGTTGGTATTCACAAAGGAAACTCAAATGGTGTTACAACTTTGCAAATTGCCCACCCATGTTTATAAATATTATTTGCTTTTGGCCCTTCGGTTTAATTGATACGCTGTGTAACATATGTATCTTGAATATCACATCCACCACGAGTGTGTACTTAACGAAATCCTTTACAAAAATATCTTAATGGAAGACGAACGCGAGAATTTTTGAAAGAGGTTTTGATTGTACAGTAGTTAACATCAGAATAATTTGACTGGCTTTTGTTTGTTTCGTTTTTGTATAAAATCGTACAAAAATAGTACATTAGACCTTTAGGCTTATCCGAAATAATTACACCTAACTTTATGTACCGACTGTGTACTTGGAGCATTTCCTTGCAGTAAAATATATTTTGACATGTATGACTTTGTGTGACCTTAACATTAGAACTCTGGGCTTTTTATTGGAATAAAATATGGTTTGAAGTATATTTAAACACCCATCTTGTTCGGTAGGGGGGTGGGGGATAATCTGTGTTTTTTTTTAAATTAGATCAGACATTGGTTGAAATAGCTTGTTATTTAACCATATAGTATTGTGAATCACGTAATGACTAAGACGGCGTTTGAGGACAATCCCTAGAATAACTTTGTTTTAAGCAAAATTATGCGACAAACGGCGTACATAGGCCGGTTGGTGGTAATCGTCCCCACCATGTTTATGGTGTAACTTGGGATTAGTCACCAAGGTAGCCGACACACTAGTATACAATGGCACATGTTATCAGTATACGTTATCTAGAATTTGATATACCTATATTCAAATCGAAATATATACAATATATGTGTGTTAGCAAATATTAAGTATAAATCTGTCGATAAGAGGTCAAACTAAAGTCATCATTATCATGTTTAGATCATGGACATGTCTTAGACCATGTCCAGTTTTACAGCTGACCCCTCTCACCTGAATCACCTTAGATAAGTTTTATCTTAGATGCCAAAGTTGTCCTCGGAATTCTTGTACCTCGTGTTTAAATCTATTGGAATGATTTTTCTGTTATTAAACAAGTGTTTCTAAAACCAAATACTAAATTTAGATTTAGCCACGGGGAGCCACGGTTGCTTAGTGGGAAGGGCGTAGGGCGTTGGCGTTTCATCGGAATTTTCGGGCTTGACCACACCGCTTGTCAGTGGTGTAGTAAGGAGGGACTAACAAGGGACAACGTATAATCGTTCGAATGGGACGTAAACCCGAGGCCCTGTATACACAATGGCGTGTACGTAAAGAGCCCTTGATAGTTGGGATTCGGAATACGAGTAGGCCATAGCCACGGTGGCTCGGTGAGTATGGCACTGGCTCTCTAACGAAGGTGTCCCGGATTCTTTGGAATTTCCATTCCAGTTTCCATCAACTCCATTCCTTTTTATTGGTCTCGATAATACTACTTCATATTAATCAAGTGGGTGGGGGTATTTGTAACATTGGGCCCACCTTTATTTGAATAAAACAAATAGAATCCCTGACCAGTGACCAACGCTTTCACCAGAATTAAAACACGAAGGCGTACGAGAATGGGCGAAAATATGACATTCTTATTGCTTTTAGTGACGCTAGGATATCCATAAATAAATCATAGACTAGAGTTTACATATATACAGAAAAACGTTATCAGTATATCATAAATAACCTTTCTACCTCGTGACTAATATCGCCTCCTATCAATTAAATGCTAGTATATATAATAAAGAAGAAAGGGGTCTTACATTTGTTTTAGTAGACCCATGGCGTGCTCAAGCTTGTTCTAACGCTGCACTCTTGACATTTTTCAAGTAAAATGTTCCCTTAATTCATCTTATAAAATGACAAGTCGTACACATGATTGATAGATATATCAATATTTTGTGTGTTTATGCAAATTAGAACTTATTTGAATAACATACCCCCTTTAGTATAAAATCTTAAATACTTACTTAGGTTGTCCGACAACGCCTACTTCACTCGATAATGATAACGAAAAATGCATGACGTTATCTTGGCGATAATGCAGAACTTTCTAAATGTTTGCTATATCATTCCATTGTGGACCTGCAGTCCATTTACCAGGGGTATGTAAACTCTGACGACATTTTAATAAAGTATACAAATACAGTGACAACCAGCTCTCTCTCTCTCTCTCTCTCTCTCTCTCTCTCTCTCTCTCTCTGTGACGTAAGACCATGCACGTTGAAGCAAAAGGGCACCTGTGTTTGAAAGGAAATGAATCGTCACTCCTCGATACAACCAATGAAGAAAATCACGTATCCTTATGACAATAGATTCAGACCAATATTTAATAAAAATTGTAACAGAATTACATTGAAAACAGTTGTCATTTCAAAATAACATGATGGAAAAGGAACAATTTCGCAACAATGTTGTCAAAAGCATGAAATCTTGCCAGTGTTTGATTTTGGATCATCATTTGCAAAGCATTGGGCTGAAATCTATATTTTTGTGTAGCTGCCAGTTCAAAATCAACATTGACAAGAATCTTAGATTTGTTGTGCTATTTTATGTAAATAATGCTTCAAAATGTTGACGGATTTGGTAAATATGCACACAAACAAGGGTCTAGACCACGGAAATGTATAATCGTGTTTTAAAATAGACCATGTAAAACTAAAAGCATTGTTCCACATAAAATAGAAACACGGGGCCGGTATCTGGTTATTTACCTTGGCAATTACATCACTGATATATAAAATATATAAATATATTTTTTTATATAGAATCTTATTGTTCAGTTGGTATTCATTATTATAAAAAAGCAACCACACTCAGCCCTTGCTTGTATTTAAAACATGCTGTATTATGGTTATCCACAAACATATTAAATTTTGCAAACATCCACATGACAACAAATTTATTCAGGCGTGCATATACTTATTGTCGATTTAATAAAAACGATTTAATCAGTTGCACAGTTGAAATTACTTTGTGAATAAAAATTAATATCTTGGTTATTCGTGCATAGCTATTTTCTGTTGAAGAACCAAATGTATTTTGTATTGATTTAACACATTGCTTTTAATTCTTGTTGCATATTGCCCATTTATTCAATTATCGTTTTTCTTTCATTTCAGAGTTTCGGCCATTATTGGAGGTTTCTCAAGCTACTCCAAGCTTCGAGGATCAAATGATGATGATTGGGTGGACAGAGTCAACCATCTGTACACTGTTATTATTCTAGTTATTTTCGCCATCTTCATCAGTGGTGGACAGTATGTGGGTAACCCAATTGAATGCTGGTGCCCCGCCCATTTTACGGGCTCATATGTAGCCTACACAAAATCATACTGCTGGGTGAAAAATACGTACTATATTCCCATGGACAACACCATTCCCGTGGAGCATAACAATAGATCTTCAGAAGAACTCACCTACTACCAGTGGGTGCCCATCATTCTCCTCTTCATGGCCTTCCTTTTCAAAGCACCCAGCATCCTCTGGAGGATCTTCAATAGCGGATCGGGATTGAACCTGGAAAAAATTGTCAACATGACAACTGATACCCAAATAGGAAGTCCGGACAAACGAGAAGAAACGTTGCGTCATATCTCGGTTTACATGGATCGTTGGTTGGAGACGCATCGCCAGTATCATTGGAACGCTCTCATCCGAGCTCGAGAAAGAGTTTCCAAACTCTGTTGCTTTTTGTGCTCAAAAAGAGATGGTACTTACCTAACCGGGCTTTATATTTTCGTCAAATTGGTCTACGTTGTTAACGTTATCTGTCAGTTTTTCCTGCTCAACGCTTTTATGGGTGAGTGGTATAACATGTATGGTATGGAGGTGCTGAGTGGTCTCTATAACGATCATGCCTGGAAGGACTCGCCAAGATTCCCCAAAGTAACCCTTTGTGATTTCGACATTCGTCAACTGAACAACATTCAACGACACACCGTGCAATGCGTCCTTCCCATCAATCTTTTCAACGAGAAGATCTTTATCTTCCTCTGGTTCTGGTTTGTCGTCGTTGCTGTTGTAACCGTCGCTAACTTCGGCTTCTGGATCTGGAGAGTCCTCTTCAAGATGAACCGAGTCCGATACATCAAGAAATATCTTAAACTCTTGGATGAGGTGCGCGGAGAAGAAGACAAACGGTTTGCCAAGAAATTCGCTGACCAGTATCTGCGAGATGATGGCATCTTCGTTCTTAGGTTAATCGGCAAGAACTCTAACGATATTTTATTATCTGACCTAGTCTCAAACCTTTGGAAAATCTACAAAAGTAAACCGATGATTAAAAAGGAATATGCTGATGATAACAACGAATCACATGCTTAACAATTGAACTTGTCAGAACATAAATAGGATTTTTTTCGATATGAAATATCTGTATATTTTCATGAATATATTATTAATAAACGTGACTTTAGTTCGCGTTTGACAACAAATCACGTGGCTTCCATGGTGTTGTGTGATTGGCCTAAAGGTGGTGATACTGCTGAACTGTATTATAGATATATATATATATATATAACTGCCATCTTGTATAAAATTAATAGAGTGGATGGGGTGTTTTTTTTATCATTCAAAAGTGTAGTTTCCATGGCAATCAGTAAACATTCCCATAATCAATTCACATTCCAACTATAGTTGTCGGAAACGAAAAACGGCTGTTTTTTCTGGACTTTGATTCTCATCGTCTTTTATTAAGCTGTGATTACATCGGGCAACTCAGTTCGCTCATAACACCGGAAAAATGAGTTGTTACGAATCATCAGTACTGTGATTACCGGTAATACCAACGGATCAGTAGTCAATTACTATGATATAAACAATCATTAAGGTTATCTTTTCCAGTATTTCGTATTACAGAACAACAAGAACTAGTCCAGATCAAGTTTCTAATCGAGACTACTGATGCCTTTTCTGTTACACATTCTATTACGTCACGTAATTTATATATCTCAACGAACAACGATGTCTACTTTGCTCACAATATTACGTTACGTGCCTTTCAGAGGTTGGCAATTCAAGTATTCCAGCAATAGATTTTAATTAATATATTGACCTAATTAATATTGTGCATTTTTTGGTTTCAAACCATATGTGCCTTAAAGTTTCAGACATTTAAAATAGCTTTTTATATATTTTATTTTTAAAAACATATTACTGAATATAATGCGATAAAGTTCTGGGCATTAATTGTGTTTTACACACTAATCTCAGTGCATTTTTAGTCATTTATTTCATGTTAAACATCGAATTGTTCAATTTCAAAGGATTGGTTTTGCCATCTTTTTATTTTCGTTCAGTGGTTTGGGTATTCTTTAAGTGATTTGTTTCCTTTATAAAGGGGGTATTACTTCTTTCTTTTTTTCTTTATTTTTTAAATTTTTGATAATTTGGGAATTTCATCATTACAGCTTCCGCGTATTATATTATTTTCTACAAAACTAAAGTAATTTATAGTTTATTCTGAAATGCTGAATTGACGTTATTCAAGTTTAATGTATATTATATTTTTTCCTCGCTTATATCATAATGTAATTGTGTATCAAGCATTTCAGATTTTCAACCTTCCTGTATATAAATAGAAAATTGGCTTTGTATACCATTTATCTACTTTATAAAAGATAGTTTAAATATACAGAGCTGTTATCTTAATTTTAGTCTATATATATATATATAAATAAATATATGCCCGCCTTCTTTATGTATTTAGAATGTATATTATTGCAGTTACTGTGGTTCGAGACAGGGGTATTTGAATTATTTAAAATTATTTTAAGTTGACGGTTTAACACTGAGCTATTTTCACTATCTTTATTTCGAGAAACATACATGAAGGTAAAATTAATTAATTATATAGTTTAGAATGTTTATTGTAATCATAAAGCCCCAGTCTATTTCTATAGTAATATGTAGGTAGTGTAGTTGTTTGCATATCTGCTTAGTGAATTAAATTATATATTAATTTTAATTGTGGCAGAATGATAAATCACGCTCATGAAACCTGTCTACGCAGTCGCAGTAAAATTTTGTGAAAATCACTATACACTGCATCTAATGCAGAACACTCCATTGCAGATTAAAGTCACTTAGTTAAATGTTTAAACTAATGGAGTACAACATAAAACGAAACGTGGTTTACATCTGGTTTTAAACAGTTTGACTCCAGTGGGAACTGCCGAATAAGCCCTTACCCCTCCCCTTACCTCCTCCTTAAAGCTCGGCTGCACAGGTTTTACTGTGGAGTGATTATCTGTCTACATTTGCCATGTTTACGGGAATCGTAGTTTGTCAATGAGAGAGGTCTTTTCCAGGTTGGGTAAAGATTTGCGTTAGGCGTAGGTTATAGCCCTAGTAGCCGTAACCCAGAATTCCCAACAGGTGAATTTATTTATGGAAAGACCTCCTTAACAGACCTGATCTCCTCCTCTCCTGGCCTGAAAATAGATAATACCCTTTTGAATCCAAGTCACCGTGCATATTACATAGATTAAACCCTTATATTAATATATAGTGTGTAGTCATATTAATCTAAATTGATATATCAATCTGGATAATCTGGTCAGTGAAAATCAAAATGTAATTGTGAAATGATGTGTTATAATGATTAAGGAATTGATAATATTTGATGCGGTGTGCCTTGGCAGCTCTATGACCCGTAAAGCCATTTATTATTTTTTTTAAATTGGGACATCGAAACCGGTATATATATATCATCGACTGTCGAGGTCAAATAAATTTTGGACATCGAAAATTCTAATGGTAGTCAATAGTCATTGAATTTCAAGTAACATTTTGAACCTCGAAATTTCTAATGATAGTCGATCGTCATTGAATATCAAATAAAACCCCGGATATTGAAAATTCTATAGATAGTCGATAGTCATTGATTTGGCCTCCAAAAAATTAGATTTCGAAAATTCTAGTCGAGAGTCATGTGATCCCTCATCTGGTAAGACGGTCATGGAAACACCAATATTATCATTTCTTCTAGATTTTAAATACTAAAATATTAAATGATGCAGTTTAAATTTATATTTTTATTGTGTGATTATAGGATCATTGAATGAATGAATGAATGTATAAAATTTATTGGGTTATTAAAAAATGTTGCTGTAATAATACAAGTTTTGGTATCTTATTTGTTGAAATCATCCGTGTTGATTGCCACCCATCGTCTACGGCTTCTGAAGACCTAAGCATTTTTTCCAAACGACACTTGTTCAGCACCTTAACGTCTGAATTAAGCGATCAAAACGGGGGTCATTCATTACCCAAGAGGTCGCGTGTTCGATCCGTGGCCTTTTCCAGCGTGGTTTCCCCTTTTGAGTGCAGGCACAGGATGGAGGACTCGAGGTTCAGTGTACGTAGCATAATCACTTGGCTATGTAATTCGACGTAGAATAAGCGGGACGTCCCTCAAAGCACACATCATGTCATGTGTCCGTCTTCATTATTCCGGTTGGTTTAGAAACGTTAAATCCAGTTTCATTTCTTTTTGATTAAATAAAACAACTTGTGCCCACATTACACATCTCACCCCACAAACAACCCACTACGCAAACCTTATAGATATCTTACATGAGCCAGTGACTTGAACTATTACTGGCGGGTCGTGTCCGTAACCCCGGCCCTGAACAGACAGACAAACGACAGTCACAAATATTAGTATAGATAATAGATCCCTGTATTAATATAATAACGACCATGTAAAATATATTAACAAAAGTAAAAATATCCAACGTCAACAAATTACAATAAAATATTTTAGTTATCGGTAATTAAATTTCCAGTCAACAACAGGCACTGTTAATATGTTCACATTTATGTTTATTATAAACCCATGAAAATCAAATTGGTCCAAAAAATGTCTGTTAATATACGCTTCATTTGACCCTCTGAGGAATTATCTTGGAATGAAAGTGATTAAATAACCTTTGGGGGGGGGGGGGAGAGAAGCTTCAACTCTCTTTATTTCAATAATATTAACACCAGTGTTATTAGAAATTTACCATAATAAAAATGACGTCATCTGTGCCAAAGCTAAAATCATTGTCAACAACTAAGGGTTCTGTCGTAGCCTTAAAAGTAAAAATGTAAACGAAAAGATAACTCTGCCAAACATATTCGGAGGCAGACCACCATTAATTTCCCCATTGACTTCAATGTTAATTCTGGCCTCTTTGCCCACCTCCAACTTTTCCCCAAATTTTCGTTGGGCTGAATGCTTTTCACTACAGAGGAACAAATGGTCATGTCTTTGCACTAAAATTTGTATGAGGTTGACCACCAAAATTTTGAGATACACAAACTTGAAGAAGCATACTAAAAACATGTAACTAGTTGCCGTACATATCGCCGTAGCTAACCTGATAACCCTCGTATCCTTCCGCCTCAAAATCATGAATATTTACCAAAACCTGGCAGAAAATGTTAATTCAAACCCTCTTCGTCCATTCTAGACCAAAAAATCAACACAAATGGGCATGCAAAAGGGGAGAAAAGAGAGAGAGAGAGAATTGCTATAAATAGACGAACTACAATTCGTTGGTACCGAGATGCTGAAATTTAATGGTGGTCTGCCTCCATTCGAAATTTACGATCACATTTGTTTTTTAAATGCAATGCTTACTTTCCTTGATCACCAAATCTCACTAAGTGTTACAAATATCATCAGTATAGCGTCATAACCTTTAAAATTCAAATTATGACCGGCAAGATAACTGCGCAAAAAGCTTTCGACATCTATGATCTGGAAATGTTTTAATTTCCATAGACCCTTATGAATAACCACACCGCCGTTTTAAAAATCCACCAAGAACCGTATCTAGTGAATTCAAAAGGCGACTCTATTCCCCTAGTAAAACAAAGCACGAGAAAAACTCCACTTGGTTTTGCTCTTAGGACGTGACTGGCAAAGAAACCCACCGTCGTCACCAAGTATAGCCTGTTCGAGCATGTTAGGATGGGAGTTTGGTATATGTAATGCACCGGCCACTTTCCAACGCGCCCTCAAGCTTTTGGGGTAAGGATATTGCATAAACGTTTGAAAATTTGGAGGGGTTATTCCAACGCTCCCGATGCTAAAACCTAAAACTGAGGCCCAAAATATTTTTTATCCAAGGATAAATTTGAGTTTCTAGGTAAGTTGGTTAATTCAAAGGGTATCTCGATTACCTGTACCCCTTTCAGAAGATTTCATACATTTAAGCGTGATATACGGTCAAAAAATTATACATATCGGTAGGTGTCCCCCTTAAGATCCAATAGACAACCCCTCCAAATAACGACACACTTATCAAAATGTCTCGGGTGTATGAAAGTACCTCTAGCATCTGAAGCACTTGCATGCAAGTTCAGTTAATTCATCTTACGCATCCGTGTCACAACTCACACAATCAAGATTGCATATTAAATTCACCGTGGTTGAACTAAATAGGGCCAAAATTGCAAAGTGACGCGTCAATGGCAAATTTAAGACATTTTCCTCTTCGTTTCCACTCAAGATCTGTTTAAATAAAGTTTCTTGACCACTCTTTTAGAAAAGTTTCCCTAAACCACACAATGGATCATAACTAGAACTATTCAAATTTGTTTAAATGATATTACTCATTCAAATATGAATAGGACAGAGAGAGAAATGGGGTTTAACGTCCACTCGACACAAACTAGGTCATTTCGGGACTAACATATGGTTTTTAATTTTATTTACATAATTCGCTTGCGCGTAGGGGTCTTTAGCAGTGGGAGGAAAACGGAGGACCCGGAGAAAACCCACGAGGTTGGACAAGTGACCCTACTCCTTGCCACGTACAACCGGGGGGATTCGAAACCACGCCAGTCGACTCAATGGCAGACTTTATGATACAGCGCGCGCACGCTAACCATTCAGCCATCCAACCCCCCTAGGATCACCGGCCTAAACCCAAGGAAGGAACGCATAGGGTACTACTTTTGGGTTTTTTTTACTCGGAATTGGCAAAAAACAAAGAGAGACTTTTAGCGTAGTTATTTTAGGGACCTATGTGAACCACGCCCCAGCCATTCTGAATTTTAGGTTGACAAACTTTCTAGCAAAATGCAACCAGTTGTGATGCCTCTCACCCCCAGCTCACCTCACCCAACTGACTTGCCCTTTTCCACTGGGTAAGAAATTAATAAATAAGCAAAAAGACAAATATAATATTTATAAAATCCAACATGACTTTATTATTTACAATTATGAATTATGCTGGTTCTGGATACAGTAAAATTATTTTCATATAAAAAGGATTTTATTATTTTCCTGAGTAGTTCATCTTTGCATTACAAAAACAATGGCAGGTTAGTTAATTAATACATGATACCAATTAATTATATCAAATACAGGTTAATATAGAAACAAATTCCAAAGAAAGAATACATTAATAATAATAATAACACCTAAATGGAAGATCTTACTAAACAACTATCGAATTTAGGTGTACATAATTTTATTCATACTTTCCTGAATGGGGTCAGAAGGCATTTTACATCAGTCACATTCTGATTGATTTCACCAAAAACGACAATTCAAATCTAAATCACAAAAAAGGGTCACTTTCAGCAAGCTTCCCAGAATTTGGAGATGACAGAAATTAATAAATGCAATAACATCCTGTTCAAATTAATAATTTTTTTTATCGTTTTTAATAAGATCAAGCTAAAACAGTGAATATAATTTTAACAACACCCATTTCAATTTCCAAATCTAAGGTGCTGCTAATAACTGAAGCGTAGGAGAACATAATAATTTTACAATGGATGGTACCTTCAATTCAACTTTTTCTCTGATCAACAAATTATAGAAACATAACAATCATTTTAAATCTTTAAAATGGAAATCAACATAATGATGGATTCTCTTTGTACCAATGTAAATTATAAAATAGTAAGTGAATATATATGATTTCAATACAAAATAGATCGGAATATTATCTGTTGATTATTAACCTACAAGGTGGAAGATGGTGGAGAGAGGTATATCAATGTCAATACAGTTAATGAACTTTTTAATTTCTCAACATCAAACTAGTACAAACAGGTTGAATTGATGCCAAATTTATGTACATTTTTGTGCGAAAATAAATTTGGTCAAAACACAGTTTCTTATTGCTTCATTTTATACTCATTGATGGAACAAATTCTTACAAACTTAACAACAAATATATATGGTTTGTAAGAAAATGAAATACATGCCCACAGCAGCTAAGTAATCACATTTATTCTTTTGTAGGTAATAGGAGAATTTACAAGGGTAACAAGCAGTTATAAGAAGATATAACAAATATTTAAAAGTTGAATAGCTTCTAGTATTTCCTGATGCTGATATTTATTTTATACAGAACACATACCAGTAGTAAGAAGGTAACCATAGATGTTCAAAGTTATCCGAAATCATGGAAAATACGTTCCTTCGTCTCAAGAACATAAAAATTTTGCAAATTTTCAACTCAGTGTTTACAGCATCTATAAAAAGGTTTTACAGAGTGCCTAATTCTGACATCAATTGTCAGGAATCAATTTAGGGGTCTTCGTCTTTTATACCGTCTGTATAAATCCTAACTATAAGTAATTGTGGACAAGGACAGACACGAGTGACGACAGTATACAACCATATTTCAATGTGGGTGTATAAAAATACTCATATTTTACTATTCAAAGAATTTACCTAAGACGTGTAGGTGGCATGGCTTGTCTCTACAGAGGATGCAGTATGTTGCCAAATTTTCATTTCATGATATCTTTATAAGTACTAGACAGAATTGAACCTTTTGATAGATTCAACATGCCCAATATTGTAGTTTACAAGGGATTCTAAATTCCTCAAATAACGATCAACAACTTTAATTTTTGAAAAAAAATTATGACAATCCGTCAATTTCTTATTAATTGTATTCCAATTTGAACTTACTCTAAAGACTATGTTCATAAAAAGAGTTGACGTGCCCATATATAGAGTAACAAAAAGAGTTGACGTGCCCATATATAGAGTAACATAACTATGACCTATATATATATATATATATATATATATATATAGTTAGTTAGTTAGTTAGTTGATCTATGAGATATATATAAAGACAGTTGATAGATTACCATACATGTATATATATCATATATCAACTATATATATGGCCATATATTGAGTTGATATGTGAACATATATATATAGAGAGAGAGTTGATCTATGACCATATATATAGAGAGAGAAAGCAGATATATATATAAAAGAGTTGATATATATTAGATGATTTAAAAATAAACTGTGTAAATACACTATAAGTCTCGTTTAAAACAGGAATAAGAGACATTTTTATCAATCACTGGCTAAATTCCAGTTAAGCTATTTAAGAAGTTGATATCAGCTTATATATGGATACAGAATCATAATAAAATATTATATTGAATCAATTAAAAAAAAAAAACAACAAAAAAAAAAACAACAGATGCATTGCCTTGTTCATAATCCACACTAATTTACCTACAGTATAAAACATATTTATTCATGTATATAAAACAATAACTTTGGTTGGTTTGGGTAGGAAAGTCAATAGCACGTTACAGGAGAAGATAAGCTATAGGATGGGTAAGGAAGCCAAGAGCGGATTCCAGGATATCAAATGGTAGGGGGTATCTTGAGAGTCAAAGTTAATAAACATTTGGCTAGAATCTGCCCAGCAACATCCCCACATTTTAACTAAAATCCTGGATCTACACTTGTATAGTTGTATAAACAATAGCTTTTCCCACCAAGGGAGTGTATATTGTATTCATAATTCATTAAAATTAATGCAATTTGTTATACATCAATAATGTAGATTGCACTCTTTCAAACAATTCATTGGGGGGGGGGGGCACTGAATGTGTATGCAATAAATACTCAGAATGTGGTCATATAAAATTTTAAATATGAAAGTGATAATGCCCAAATATCATTACATGCCACTCTTTTGTTTGACTATATGTATAATATTTCCATTAAAGGAGCTAAACCTCTTTGATTTAGGACAAAAAAGAGTAGGGTGATATGACGTGCCATTTCTATTAGAGATAACGTAATCTCTATGCAATTAAATTTAAAAAAAAAAATATTAAGTGGAATTCACTTTGTTTACTAGTTTTAGTTTCATTTCTGGCTAAAATTTTCAGTCGTTTAACACAAAATATAAAATCAGTTGATATACCCACTTTCACTACCTTAATTATTTACCCAAATCAAGACAAGATAACCCTATTCAAAACACCTGCTTAACAATCAAAAAGGTCCAGTCATTCAAAAAGAAACAAGCAGACATGGAATATATTCTAAATCAAAACATTGGTTCATTTTTGTTATGAAAGAGAAGTGAAGCAATGCTATCTTTCATCCAACAGTGATATTTCCACCATTGCCCAAAATGTGCACCTGAACACACTGCTGATCTGACACAGGATGTAATTTGGTGCACTGAGAAAGAGCAAGATTTTATGACTCAACATTAAATATTTCCAAAAATCATCAAGTGCATGTTTCTCATTGACAAAGTTGCTCCATTTATTCAATAAAGAAGTGGGTACATAGAATTTTTCTGAGTTTTGAATGCTACTTTATGTTATGCCAATATGCATAAATACCAATTTTGAAATTTATGTACCAAGTGCACTAAAATATTTTTACTGTTCTAAAGTGCCCAATGAGAAAGGAAAATATGGGAACCACTGACTAAACATTTTCCTCTGTATAACAATGTCTCATGTCTTTTGTATAATAATGTATGTGTATAACATAACAATGGCTTCTTTATAACAATGTCTACTTTATAACAATGTTTCCTGTCTAACAAATGTCTCCTGTACATTAAATAATTAGGTTTTTTTTGGTCAAAATGCTGTCGATTAATAAGTAACATTTAAAATTAAGAAAACAATCCCTCAGAATTAAGATTTCTTATTTATTATATATACATTGTAGAAAGTTCCTACATCCCTCACATCTATTTGTTTATCGCCCTAGTCATAGATATTCTTGTAGCTGATCACAGTCACTGCTGTATGCCGGGTTTCTGAATCAGGGGACCTGCACAAATTTTAAATGCTTCAAAAAAGAATTACTGGTATTTTGACTAAGTCAGTTATTTGTGGTGAATAAAATTGGTTTTTGTTACACATTTACGGGAGGGTATGGGGCGAAGGTCCAGCACCACAACCCTACTATCTAACTAATCGCAGTGTTCAGAAAAATGTACCATCATTAGTTCCTGAAAACAAACATCAAAACAGTCTGTAACTGTAAGGAATCCTTAATGAATGCCTTTTGTCAATGATTATGAGGGAGAATGGACAAAGATTACAAAAGAATTATCATAATGTATAACATCTACATTAAATTTACTTTCAAAATATACAAATAACAGCAGTATTGATATTATATAATTAAATATAGCCTCTGGATAATAACTGATAAAGAACTGGTTTGATACATTTAAATATAGACTAAGAATAAAGTACAATGTAGCATAGAATCACAGCTTTTCCGTTCATTTTTTAACCTTAGACTACGACTCTGGTTTCAATCATCTGCCAGGATTAACTGGGTGGAGAGAGAGAGAGAGAGAGAAATGGGGTTTAACGTCCACTCGACACAACTAGGTCATTTCGGGACTAACTGGGTGGAGAGAGAGAGAGAAATGGGGTTTAACGTCCACTCGACACAACTAGGTCATTTCGGGACTAACATATGGTTTAATTTTATTTCAATAATTCGCTTGCGCATAGGGGTCTTTAGCAGTGGGAGGTAACCAGAGGACCCGGAGAAAACCCACGAGGTTGGACAGGCGACCCTACTCCTTGTCACGTACAACCGGGGATTCGAAATAACTGGGTGTAGTATTTCCCCATCTATCAATATACTGTAGTATCAATTTGCGGTTTATTTAAAAGAATCTAACAGTAAAACACAATCAATGATCTAGATTCTGGGCTACATTAACTTAAAAACAATTACTCTTTTAATTGAAAGAATAATCATCACTACTTACTGAATTGCAGATTTGTTTAGGACACTCTAACCCATGTAGAAATAATATTTCTTTAGGTCACTACGTCTTTAGCCCATGTAGTAATATTATTTCTTTAGGACACTACGTCTATAACCTATGTAGTAATATTACTTCTTTAGGACACTGTAACCCATTAGCAATATTATTTCTTTAGGACATTAAAAATTGAGTAGATTTTAATTTTGTCATCGTAATTACATTTTTGATTAATTAGTATTAAATAAATATATCTAGATCAATTTGGACAATATCATTTTTAATCAATTAAATTTTTAAGTATGAAAAAGAATAAATTTGAATTTATGTTATAATGCTTAGTTTTTCATATTTTATGCATAAATTGGAAATTTTATTATAAATTTACGAAATCTTTTTCATTTTATTAAATGTTTATGCATGAGAAAGAAAAATGAGAAAGTGTTTTATAACTTAAACAAAATCATGTTTATTTAAGTAAATTTTTATGCGTGAAAAGAGAAGTTTTATTAAACAGAAAAAGAAATTAAGAAATTATGTTATGTTAGAATTTTAAAACAATCATACCGGTATTCATTTAACTAATAATTCTATACACAACCTAATTTCACCGTACTAAATAATCAACCGGTTCTAATAATATATATATAATATGTATATATTTGAATATATTTCATAAAACTCCCTGAGATAAACTGTCAATTATATCACCATACACCTTATAAGGCTTGACATAATCTCATCAATATGCATTTCTTCCATCGTCTTCCTCCAATCAAAATTCACCAGACTAGTCTTACGCATTACGTATTGCCTTTTTTCCACATCACAGATTCAAACAATCTTTTTAACACAAATGCTTTCATTGGTTCGCTTGCTGTTATAACTTTGGCGTTATGTTTATGTACACTAATATCTTCTAATGATAAAACATTAACTTACTCGCTTGTTCTATTATGAACAAATTACTTTCACCAGGCAGCTTCAACGTACTAGACGCATAATGCAAATTTGTGCAAAACACATTTCGGTCTATTCAAAGCAGTCTACACAGAATTTAAAGTCACTGAAAATAGTCAGTAGTATGTAAAGTCACTCGGTATTGTGCGTTATTTTTCGAAGTCTAATTATATAATATATGTACATGTCTATAAAAGGTTGCCCAGCAACAACTAACAACTTTTATGGTATACAGACGTTCTCTGCTCTGTCCAACATTTCTATCACTAATGGAGGCAACTCTCCTGGTTTTTCTAATCGTAGATGTAAAACTCTTTCAGCTCCTGAAATATGAACAAGTCAAAAAATTAATCAATTAAAAAAAAATCCTTTGCATTTAAAAAGCATTGATAATGAAATATAAATTGAATGAATAGATACGATAAATTATTAGCAACATAAATTAATAGCAAGGGATATTTAAGTCACTAAAAGCATGCATTGAAAGAATATTCAGAAATAATTGATAAAGGTTGGGGTACTTACTATGGTATATTTCAGAAATGATGTAATAATAACAACTATTTACACCAATGTCGAATACATGTACATGGTTAGTGCATAGCTTACATAAGCCATTGAACAAAGAGAGAGAAAGAGAGAAATGGGGTTTAACGTCCACTCGACACAAACTAGGTCATTTCGGGACTAATATGATTCAATTTTATTTCAATAATTTTTTGCACGTAGGGGTCTTAAGCAGTGAGAGGAAACCGGAGGACCTGAAGAAAACCCACGAGGTTGGACAGGTGACCCTACTCCTGGTCACATACAACCGGGAAGTCAAAACCACGGCAGTTGACACGACGACAGACCTTGTGATACAACGCATGCACGCGCTAACCGTTCAGCCGTCCAACCCCACTCATTGATCAAAGAAGATTTTTTCCCATGTGGATTGACAGGGGTTATTAACTAATCCACATCACGGAGAGCAAAGATATTTGAGAATGTTTTCAATTGCTCTATACATCTTATTAAAATACTAAGCTAATTGTCTACAATTTAACAAAGTGTTTATTAAGTAATATGAAAAGTAGTAAATACTGAAGACCAAATAGTTAAAGGTACATGTACATGAACATATGGAACGTATTTATAATGAATTGTAGCACGAATCTAAACTTTCCTGAATTCTGATTAGCTGAAATTCATCATCTATTGGACAATATATAACACTCCTCTAAATTCGGATCAATTCACGATGTTAGCATACAAAGTATACACTTCAAAACTATTTCATGGAAATCAATGAAATGTGTTTATGTATGAAAAGTTCCTGCTAGTCACTTTTAGCCTTTTAAATATTAGTATTTTAAGTTACAATCAATCTACTGGTAAGCATACCAATCTGGGAGGTGGGAGCAGATGGTACAGCTGACAAGTAAGCTGTGCGTGGGGCTAACAACTCTAGTACAGTGTACCTTATTGCTATACAAAAGCTAGATCAAACCTTTTCATTATTTCACTTCAAACCCTAGTATCACTGTAGCAAAAAAAAAAAAAAAAATTGTTTTTCAATCAAATAAAATCTCATTCAAAAAATTCAGATGTTCAAATATCTAAAATGGTTGATCTGCCCAGGTATTTCTGTGAACTTTATGGCATCATTTTAAATATGATTCGTAACACAAGAATACTATTGCTGATTTGGTAGAAGCTGCGGAGCCCAACTGAGAATATTTTGGCAGGTCCCCAGCAAAGGTCTGTTGTAGTCACATGAAGGCAGTTGATTACCCTGGCCACCAGGGTGCAATTGGTCCAAGTGGCTTTAAGCCGTCCAAGAATAAGAGGCTTACTTGACGATTAGATGAGGTATCATTCAACTGAAAACCCAAGTCCATGCTATTGATACCAGTGAAAAACAAGCTTTAAGGGCTGTAGTCTTTGTAAGAACTAATAGCCGGCTTCACACATAATAACAGTCAATGATTCTCATTGTAGCAGATATAACACAAGTCTGGTCATTTGTTTTAAAAAGAGGAAAGAGGGGTAGGGGGGGGGGGGGAATGGGCTGTTTTTTAAGATGATGTAATATAATGTTGAAACTTAAAGCCAGTTAAGACACAAATTGACAAATATGTATATTTTATTATGATGAATAAGATTATTAAGTAAAAGATAAATATCAATATTATCATAGACAGTATAGAGTTCTATATATTTATATACCGGTATGTATTAATAAACAGTGCAATACATGAAAACCCTTATCAAACATTACATTTTGAGATTAAATTTTGAAGAGGTTTCTTGTTGGCCTAAAGGTAACAACACAAACAACTTAAGATTTTAAACATACATTATGCAAGAGCTAAATATGCCTATTGCGGGTCTTTCTTTAGGCTTGAAATGTTATCTAAATTAATAATTAGACATTAATTAATTTATCCAGACCACTATAAACTCTGGATGCCATCGCAAGCCTGCGATATTTTGCAGATTGGAATACATCTTGTGAAAGATAATTAAACTTAAAAATGGATAATAGAGGATTTGTTTTTTTTTTATTGTACCGACTTGAGTAATGATTTTCGAGGCGAGCCTAAAATTCAGAAGCTAATATCTCGTTTCAGAGTGAAGCAATTTGACTGAAATTTTCAGCAAATTCTATTGACGTTATTTATTCAAAAACTATTATAGTGAGAACTGTCAACTCTTTATCTAATCTCCCATAATGCCTCTTTAACTAGAATATAAAATTAGTGCATAGAATCTAGTGATATACAAGGAAAAACATGATATAGCCATAGCCACATGCACATTGTACTTTACGTAATACTCTGAAGAACAGATTTGAAGGGTTTTATTAAAATTTCAATGCAGCAATCATTATCCCTATATAAATTTAACAAAAATAAGTAGGTTAGAGTCCATTTTTTCTCCATATTGGTGAGTAGAAATGAAATATAATTCAGGGGCTGGCCAATTCAACCATTTTAAGGAAACAAAATGGTGGCTTAAGATCAATAGAAAGTATTTGAAACCACCTTTGACCATAATTTCTACTACAATTGCCTCATATGCTTCTAGGTCAGAATATGGTCATTTTAGTAAATATATAATTCAAAATATTTACTTTATTAACTAATGCCTCTTAAACATTATACAGAATGGTGGATTTTACACATTGCACTGTTTATAATTCTAAGTAAAACACCAGGATTTAAGATTTTTCATAAAGAAAAAGAAAAAAGATGTAATATTATTATGGTGTATAATCTGGAGTAAAATATACAAATATATGATTAAAAAATCTACACAATTTTAACTCATTGTAATACTTATACTTCATTTCCAACACAATCAAAATAACAATGGTGAAACGAAAACAAAGTAATATATGATAACATACATGTATAATAAGCACTAAATAAAAATATGATTTTATTCTAAAAAGAAAAAAAAAAGATAGAAATAGCTACAAACTAAATATGACTATTTCACAAACTTAATAGCTAATAATATATACTGCTTTATTTTTAGTCAAAAAATAACTTTCACTTTTACTGTATTACTCCTTCAAATCATTATTTTGAAATAAATTCGGGCTGTACAAAAATGAAAAATTAAGAGTCATGATATACATTACCATTTTGCTAAGAAACCAACATGTGTGACTGCATACTGTTAACTCACAATGAAAACTAATTTGTCATTTAAATAGTAAAGTAATAATAAACCCTCATTATAAAACTGGCTTGAATCACAATGCACAGGATCAATGTAAATAAGTTACATTGGATGTTAAACTGGTGACCTACATTGTAAACTAGCTTTGTGACTAATATTTCAATCTAGTTCTGTGAAGACTGTGATCCACATTGTAAACTAGTTTGTGACCTATATTGTAAACTAGCTTATGACCTAAAACATTGTAATCCACATTGTAAACTAGCTTTGTGACCTTTATGGAAAACTAGCTTATAATCTATAATATTGCAACCTAGCTCTGTGTATTTGTAATATAAGCATGATGGCCTGTTTTGTAAACTAGTTTGGTAACCTATATTGTAAACTAGCTTGGTGACAACCTCTGTGATCTATGTTGTAAACTACATGTAGCTTGGTGATCTACATTATAAACTAACTTGTTAACACATACTGTAAACTAGCTTCGTAATCTACATTGTGCACCAGCTATGTGACCTACACTGAAAACTAGCCTGGTGAGAGGATTTATTTCGAGAAATAAGAAATCTAGATAGTAAATAATTTATAAACGAAGCATAATGAATGAAAACTTAAAATGAGAATATATGATATTAATTCCATCACCAAAATGAAAAACAACTTTTTTTTTAAAATCATTGAGATATATACGACCAAATAAAATGACTAATTTTCTATTCCAATAATTTGACAGCAGATATGCAAAAACTTCAATTTTATTACAGTTTTTCTAACAAAAGAGAATGAATATTAATGTTGGGTTGGTTAAGATAAAATAAAATCACTAAATGATAAAATAGAAAAATATCATAAAATCCTATCACCGGGATGAATTGAAATCAAAGTATCATCAATTTTACCACAAAATAAAATAAACCACTATCAAAATTCCAATTTCTATCAACATGTATAAAGGTGTGTACAACATTTCGGTTAATTAAAGTACTGTTTAGTAAAATAACAGTATCAAAATTAGAAGCAGATTGTCAAGGAATATCAATAGAATAACTAATTATCTTCATCAAAAATTTGAAATGAGAAAGATCTAGATAATTACTGAACGACAAATTATTTTCATTTCTAAAATTTTAAATGAGAAAACAAAACAAATTTATTAGAAAAGAATAATTTCTTTTTTAATATTTTATCAAAAAGAGACCAACTGATAATACTTTGTTTTTGAGATCATTGTGAATTCTCTGAGATCTATTATTTGCAATTTTTAAATATATTTCCTTTCGCATCAATGAATTCTTCATACATATTATTTATCTACATCTATTCAATTCTATATTTATTCATATATACATTTTATTTCTACAATTCATATTTCCTTGATATTTCATTTTTTTTGTTTAAAATCAAAACAAAAATGAAATATTTCTTCAATAGAAGAAATCTAAAAAAAAAAACCCCAACATATCAACAATTGGTATTGTTCGAACTACTTCAATTCAAATCATCAACAAATAATTTTATTCAATGTTCATTTTAAACTATGCTTTCAAACATTCAGTTATAAGTTCATATACACTACGCATTAACACAATAAACTTTTCCGCACACTATTCTGTGTCTTTCAAGTTAATATTATAATAATAACATGATAATCAACGCTTAGAGCTGTAAAATATCAGAAAGTGCTTCACTAATAATTCCACCGAACTGGGAAGTTGGTTCTGAAGAGTCTAATACATGCGACATCATCCTGGAAACTGGAGAAGAACTATCATCGTAACTTCCTACATCGAATGAACTAAGAGATAATGGAGAACTGTTAAAATCTAATAAGTTGTTTCCGTTAGAGTTACCACCCTTATTGTTATCATAGGAATCCTGAGAAACACTTTGTGGTCCAATAGATTGCTGACTTTGTGATCCACCTGAATAATAAGCATGAAGTTCAGATGCTCCATTTGTACCATTCTTTAGGCCATTCGAAGTGTCGTGGGTATAAATCTGATGACTGTAGCTGTTGTTTATCACAGAGCTTGGAACTGTGATATTTTCAACCTTGACCTGACATTGTATGCTGTTGTAGTTTCCAGACTCTGTAGTAATTATATCAGCTAGTGACGATGCCAGACTGCTGGAACCCGCTTGATTTGCTGTCTGCTCTAAGGAAGTTAGGTTACTCACGCCTTGTGTAGGGTTCTGGTAGTTATGCGGATACGAATGTCCATTAGGTGACGTTGTACTGGTTACTAGATTTTGAGAGGTGGTTTGAGGATACATGGCTCCAGGATACGTTGTCACTGATGGTGGGCGTCCATAGTCCATGGGTGATATAGCTGGAGAAGGACCAGCTGACATCCTCATGGTTGAACCTACATCCATAGGAGAGTTAGAGCCTATACTTGTACTACTGCCATACTGCATTGCATATGGATCATAGTTAAAACCCTCTATAGAATTTGGAGTATAACATTGGGAAGCAAATTCCTTCTTTATCTGAGAAGGCAGAGGGGCATCACCTGAGGTAGACTCAATAATACGAATACCGTTATAGCGATAAATTCCCAGTGGTTCATCTTCTATTCGTTTCTCCACTGGGGCCAAGATCTCGTTCATGAAGTTTACAGCAAAAAGCAGTGTTTCTGTTTCACCTAAGCAGGATAAGATATGAAAGAAATTTCAAGCAGGAAGCCAGCAAAATAATATAAAGAGCAGGAGTAAATAAGCAAATTAAAAATAATGAAGCAGAAAGCAGGAAAAAATCACCTTCAGGAAAATGATTTTTATTTCCTAATTGCACAAAACCAAACCTTGAAATTACATAGTTCTATCTTTTAATCTTACTGGCTGTCCTACATAAATTTCATTCATTTCTTTTTGTATTGGGATATCTATCACAAGGCAGTAACAAACGTGTAGAAAAGTTTTATTTAATTCTTAATATTTACAGCTTTATTTTATCACATGTATTAATTAAAGTCAAAATCTATTGGCATGATAAAGAAAAGCGATGAATAATTTCAAGGTTTGTTAAGTGTGCTACATGTAGGAAGTCTCAGTCTTACAAAAGTCCATATTTACCTATAAGTAGGCCTACCTATGAGTAAAGAATTAGTATTCAAATTGCAAATATATATTATGTAAAATTCTGTGCATTTGTAACTTTAATAATTCGCTTTACATGGAAAATCTTTATTAACCAAATTTTGACCTTTAATTTAAAAAAAAACAACAACAACAAAAAAAACTGTGGAAAAATGAACTAGAAAGTTTAAAAATTTTAACACGTTTTTATATATTACTTGTTTCATCTACAGTAAACTTCACATAAGTCGGATCTAAGAGGACCGAAATTCAATCTTAGCTCGATTAAAAATAAACTGCAAGAGCCGGATAATAATTGATTCGAAGGCACATTTCAAGCTTTTGTTCGTGTGTGCGAGTAGATAACTTCCGTTTTGGTGTGAGTAGATAACTTCTGTTTTGTCGCCATCTTTGACAAATGTCTCGAACAGCAGACAGCGAGTTTCAAATTTTCCGAGAAAATTCTATTATTGTGTCACGTCGAATTGGCTGATTTGATTTAAAATGATTGGGGAAAAGTATTTTGGTGCTGTGTGCATGGAATACTTAACTGCGTTTTAGACCATCGGTACGAAACAGACTTAGTCAAGTTCTGAACATACTGCCGATCCAATTTAAGCAAAGGAAAAAAGTCTGAATTAGATCAAATGGACCGAACATTTTGATCCGAGTTGAGTGAAGATCCATCTTACGCGCATAAATTTAATAAGAAAAACGTGCAGGATCAAAGGGTCCAAACGATTTTATCTGAGTTGAGCAAAGATCCGGCTTAAACGAATCTGACTTATTCGAGGTTTACTGTACTATATAACTAATCATTTAAATTATTCACAGTATTTCTTTATGAACTGTTATAAAACTGAGACTATTTCGAAGGTTTTTTTGTTTCATGAAAATTTTAAGATCAGATTTTAAAATTCAATGTGATTTTTCTTTAACTTTGAAATCCAAAACTAAAATACGCTCTATCTTTCTGTTGACTTTTCATGAAACAAAAACAAATTCTTGATACATGAACAACCACAAACAGTTTAGTTGTGACCTCAAATCAAAAAGCTTTAAGAAAAGTAGTGTTTCCAATTTAAATTCGAAATAGGATTTTTAAAGTCTTCCAAATAAATTACTTTTGAAACAAATACTTTCTTTTCTATTTTAAAACTGTTTGTCTTAAAAAAATTTATCTAGATTTGAGATCCTGAAACTGTGAGTAGTTCAGTTAGCACATGATTGACAACGATATACATTGATTGAATGCGTGAAATGGGTAACGCCCAGATGTGGCCAATTTCATATAAAATGAAGCAAAATAAAGAAAGCATAAATGGCTATCCCAGTTCAAACTTATTTAAATCAAGCAGACAATCATGACGTATCTGTGGCACTCTGATGATGATGAAAACACAATTCATAAAAAAAAGATTACAAATTTCAGAATTTATTTTACAATAAGGACTTTCAGATAAATTTGTGGATTACTTCAATTATGGAATTTAATTGTTGCACTAATGACCTTCAGTACAATGCCATTGAGTCACAAGGATTGGGGTAGTCTTTGGGGAATTTCTCAAGTTCCTTTGGTTTATTACCACTTACACAGACCGGTCAGCCCAAGTTAATTATTGAAATGAAGACGTAAAATATGTTATTACCCAAAGGGCTTAGTTTGTGTTGAGATGATGGTTATTAAAACTATTTCTCTGTCAAATAAAGTTAAAGGGATATGTGTCAACAGGACGTACGGTTTCCTACAACAATACAATCATAGATGATCAAAAGATAGCTAAAAACTGAGAAGCGGACAACAAATTATTGCAACCAAAAATACTACATGTTAGTCCTAAAAGGACCTTCATTCCTCCTCTCTTTTCATCTTGTCAAAGTAAAATGTTTTAAATTTGAACTTATTTTTATGAATTGTGTTCTATGACAAAATTTAGAATTCAAAATAAAAAATAAGCGGACATTCAAGTTTATCTTTTATTTGATAATTAGATGTCCCAGACGATGTTTTTAAAATGATGAGTATATATAATAGACACGATTCTACAACTGCTATTCACACACCACGGCTAAAGCTAACATTAATTGTAATATATAACATATCAAAATTAAAACAAAGCTCTAAAGCATGTGAAAAGCCACCTACAAGTAAGTAAACAGTAAATTATAAAAGCATTCAGCTGATAAAAATATCCCTTCAATACCTATGTGAGAATTCAGAGTCGTGTAACGTTTAAAAATTTCCATCTTAAAAAACACCTTTAATATCTAATAATAGAAATTTTTGAGAAATTCATAACCTCATCTTGATAAAAGATCAAAAGACTTTCACAAAATACTAATAGTTTTTCATAATTTTCTGATATAGGTATTGACATTATAATTTTTATAAGTATTTTATAAGTGTTAAGTTTATCAGCGCATTGCATCTATATTTTTCTGTGAGTAATTCTATACATGGCCTAATATACTGTGATCTACAGTAAAACTATAGGAATACTTACTTTATTTACAAACAAAACTTATTACAATTGTACAAATATTCACTTTTGAGGAAATTATAGGTTAAAAAAACTAGAATTATATAATATTTAACCACATGCCCAAAACAAAGGAGACATGACGTCTTGTATACAAATTTGAAACATAAATGTTTTTGCTTTTGTCAAGTTGAAATAGTTGACACAAAGAGAAATGTTGAAAATTTGCCAAATAAAACAAAACAAAAAGTATCACCTATCTGTGAATCTTTAACAATGTGTATTTTATCTTTTCTTCAAAACTTCACATTTGTACAATCATGATAAATCTATATTGTCTCTGGATACAGGAAACCTGCTTTTGTTTTTATTAAGTAAAATAAAATGAGAAAGAGTGACTTACCTTTGACACTGATGCTACGTAAATCTGTTAATTTCATTAACATCTTGGCAAAAACATGAGGTTGATCTTCCCTTCTCGATCTTACGTAGTGTTTTAATGCTTCTAATAATGGTTCCTGCATCTGTTCTATTTTAACTGTTTCTTTTAAACCAGAGCGATCTAAATAAAAACATAAGACAGATCAATACTGACCTAAATCATGGATGTTGTTTCTCCCGTCGAGTCGGCAAACGTCCGGACTTGGAATATACCCAATCGGACATCATTACCCCAACAACAGTCGATCTAAATAGGCCAAAAAAAACCATTTCATTTACAGTCAATGGATAGGCAAGGATGATCACAAACAATTGACCTGTAAAGATGTTTCAAGATTTTAAGACAAAGGAATACCTTCACCATGGATTTTCCAAATTTTGCAAACTGGTAAATTTAAGAATGACATATTGTAGTCCTAACAAATAACACGCATAGATCTTGACCCCACTCACCCTCCTTCCAATGTTGACATATTTCCGTTCCTGATTCAACATTTAATTAATCACTTTCTATCCGTGATGTCGTTCATTGCACCTACCCATGTGTATGGATGTGTTTGGACGTAAGTGTTGAAATTTTGCAATGGTCCCTTATCCCAATTCATTTTATTTATATATTTCTAAGTATTTGCACACAAAAATACTATACATCTAAATATACATATCGTATATTAAGGTTAAATTATTTTAAATTCAAATTTTACGACTCATCAATCGATTGACAAGTAAGTTCTCCAGGCAGTCAATTTTACTGTCTGTCAGTTAAGGCTGACAAATATTACTGAAAGCAGAGTCCTTAAGAGAAACAGTTGATCTGTGATGATGTGCCAAAATATATGATAAAATTTGTAAGATAAACCTGCTTGAGAATACGTGCATGTCAACAAAGGAAGGGAGATAACTCCATTATTGAAAGTCTAGAATCTAAGTTACATTTCTTTTTCATAAAGCGGTTCAATTTACCAAGAAGTAATCAAATTGAAAATTAATTTTACACTTTATACATTTTCTTCATGTTTGTTTAATAACAAATATTAATTGCTTTTAGGGATTTAATATATTGCTGTTTTCATAGAGTTTATATATAGTATAATCTGTCACTTTTGACATTTTACTTGTTCTTTAAAATATGCCGGATTACACAGAGCGACAGAAGACTTAATACCCAAACATGCACAAATGATTAATGTTCTTTTTGAAACACGGCCCGAATGACTGATTTGGGAAATGAACCTCACTGACAGCTCATATAATGATTCAAACTACGGGAAAATGCTAAATGTAGTTTCCATAAGTTTTAAAATTATTACTTATGCAGGGATAAAACCAAATTCGAAGATCCATGGTGATTATCAATTTTGAAGATGTGTTATAAAAATCTACTGACATTGTAACCATTGATACAGATTGTGCATGCAGACTGGTTTCAAACGTTTAAGCGGAATTTACACGATACAACCAATCCATAATGATGCAACCGTCGATGCAATGGAAACATCCGACCAACTCATCAGACAAATGGTCGGATGGACAGCTTGTTGCATGGATGGGATCAGTTCTATTCTCATCCGACCAACTCATGCAATAGCCAATCAAATTGCGTTATATTAGACAACGTCATATGTTGTATGACGTCATATCCGACTTTGCAACCTGAATTCCTGATTAAAGATGTCTTTTTCTGTCGCTTCGAGTACTCTGACGTCCTATAAAATTAATTCTAAACCTTTCCGCGACTGAATTAGAATATTTAATAACACTGTATACGAAGCATGGGCTTTGAGGAACCCGCAGCATTAAAACTACACCCAGATGGGTGTGAGAAGTGTCGCCTTACTGCGATATTATTGAGATACTAAGAAGGAACAGATGTTGCCATACAACCGATAAAACCATTGTATCGTGTAAACAGTCGTCTGACGGTTGTATGGATTGATTGTATCGTCTAAACGCAGCTTAAGTATACATTTTCATTTGTTATTATTGAGATTATAAAATTATCAAGGTAATCAACAAAGATTGACACGGTTTTAATCTCACCAATAATTGATTGGTGGTTGCTTGTCAATTGTTTGTAGGTTAACACCCTCAGATAAAAGGCTGAATTACAGAATGTTAATTCAATGCAATTCATGTGATGAGACTGCTAACTGTTGATGTCATAATCCGTAATATTCAGAGTACAGACTATTCAAACCTTTGTTCGTTGAAGTAAGAAGGGGAAAAAAATAAGGATTTAAAAATAATGATGGATGTCACAAATACTGTAGTATTCAGAGGCCAAATGTGACAGATTCCAATGTATTAATAAATATTTCCCATAGGAGACTGAAGCTGATAAAATTCCAATAGCGTTAAGTAGTTTTAGTCTATTTAAACAATTTACATTAAAAAATCAGTTTGAAGTGGTCTGAATGATTGCAAGAGTTATATATATCCCTTTAAGCATACTGAAAGTTCTTGTACCAGATGTTAACCCCAAATAAAATGTCTTTATGGCCAAATTTAGGAAACAGAAACTTTGGTCTGAACAGCTTTGAAAAAATTAGGCACAATCATGATGGGAGGGTTATTAAACATGAAGACTGTTTATATTAGAACCTACACAGATATTTTACGTCTGTGTTTAAAAGTAACTACAATATGTATGCCTCAAATCCATTTTAAAGGGCTTAAATCATTTTTAACTAATATCGATATAAGTTAATATTGATGCCATTCTAATGGTTGAGCGAAACTTTACTGCGGAAGGTAACAAATATGGGTTAATATCACTTTATTTTATGAAATACACAACAAATAATAATTTATTTTTTCAGTAAATACAAACTTACCTCCACTAACTAAACAAACAGCAGATAAAACAGCAAACTCTGTCTCATCTGTGCTCATTGATTTAAGAGAAGCAGCAAAATTAAATATAGTTGCAGCAAGAGCTCCGAACCCTCCCTTTTCTAGTTGATCTCTATTTATACACACTTTATTTGAGAATACCATAGAATCAAGATCGGGATCATAGCGGTAACTTAAACGTAATATCTGAAATACAAAATATCAAATAAAATGAAATGTTTTTTTTTTCAACGGCTGAGTTAAAAAAGACAAGTTTATGTCACAGGTTTTTTTATGTGCACATCAACTTGTACATGGGACCTTTGTTAGTCGTCTCATCGAATGACTAGAAGCTGCCCTTGTCAGGCCCTCCATCCTGCACCACTGACCAGGGGAAAACTAAGCTGGAACTTTCTTGTCCAACATCAGGATCGAATCCTGGACATCCTGGTTAGCAATGATACACCAGAAATTGTAAGCAGATTTTTGAATTGATAATTGATAGTCTCTTTGATTCTTGTGAGCAATATTTTCTTTAAAAGCTAAAAATTTCGAAGTTGTAAGACATTACTTTCATCATTCTCATTTTTTAATTTGATCTTCACTGGAGAAGTAGCGGTTTGAAAGTATAAACCCGGTGATTATTGGGGTTTTTTTTAAAAATGGCTGTTCTTAAGAAGACTAAGTACTATCTTGTTGGACTTACCATTATTTCTAAACAAGCAGCTTTTAAAAGGGTAATTTGATCTGAGGTACATAATGAGGAGAAACCGTTCAGTTTTTTGGCAAAATCAACAATTTTAACAATTCCACCAGAAGACAGCAAGGAGATTTTATCCCATAACTTGCTGCCATTCTTCTCACCGCCCTCTTTCTCTTTACCATTTTCACTGGGGGATTCCTCCTGTAAATGTAATAATAACAATTTAACTGAGGGATTCCTCCTGTAGGCTAAATATAGTAATAACAATTTTATTGGAGGATTCCTCCTTTAAATATAATAATAAGCTTGGCATTTTGCAACAATATGTGTAGGATTTAGTTCAAAGTTACGCTTTCAGAAAGAAAATCAAGAGATATGACAGCTTAAGAGGCCAAGGTCTTTCTTTTAGACAGGGTTTTTTCCTGAAGTTTTCTTCCCCTAGCATGACCAAGGACTTTTATGTAATACTGCATTATAAAGTTTGGAATAACTTGAGTTAAAGAATACAACTACATCCAAAATTCAAAAATTATTTATCTCATATACTTAAGATCAAAAGTTATATATAATATGATAGTAAAATATCTTACAGTATTATTATCTATAACACCATTCTCTGATACTGGTATCGTATCACATGTAGCTCTATGAGCCTCTAATATATCTTGTATTAACATATTCTCATCTTCCGTTAACTCTTCCGACGTCGTACTCGTTGTCGAACTACTACTACTAGAACTTTCTGGTTTTGATTTACGTTTTTTATTTCGGTCATTTCGTACGGCTAAAATATAAAAAGAAATAGTATAATATCATTAATATTGAAAAACATGAAATCATTGCACAATCATCCCAGCATTAAATAAAATCTATTACCTTGTTTTGTAGATCACAACTTTGTATCGATGCAAGATTTGCTATAATCGCTTTAAGTTACCAATGAACATTGCCACTATAAAGCAAGCTGAAAATAAGGCACCTTTCATAGATTTTGTCAGGCACAATTCCTCTGGTGCCTGTCAAATTGATTTAACTTTTTTCTGTGTTTTTAATAATCGTACTTATTAATAAATGTCCGGCAAAAAGTTCAAAACGTTAGGTACTAAAGTAAAGTAAAACTGTTATTTCCATGCCCTGCACATGAATAATGAAACAATGGTCCAAATATTCAACTTTTTAATGATACCACAGGTACTCGTATCTAGCCCATGTATTAAAGCATGAAGTCAGAATTGAATGGTCTAGCTATATGTATCAATTATTAGATGTGCAAAACCACTCTGTTCCACAAACTCGGATATAACTGGCAGGACGATTTACACAATTCTACCCAATACTACCCAAAACATGACAACCTACTACATCATTATTGTGAAAAACTGACAGAATAATATTGGGTGGTATTGGATAAATCGTCCTGCCCCAGACATAACAACTAAGCATAAAATATTCTATAATTGGGAGCTAAGTTTGAATAATTCCAACCATGTGTAACATTTAACTTACGAACACTCCATTTCATGCACTGGAGAAATAAAATAAATGATTATATTTTCATCTTACAACTAAAATCTCTACCTTCTCGTGACATTCCTGTGGAGAAACATTTCTGTAAGCGACAGTATTGGCACCTATTCCGCGTTACTTTGTTGATCGGACAGTTTTTATCTTTGTGGCATGTGTATTGCATATTTTTTTGGACGCTGCGTCGGAAAAAACCCTGAAACAAAAAGATTAATAAGTATTTAAGGTTACAAAAGATAGGTTGCCAGCTAAATCGTTCAAACGGTTGACAAGAGCCATAACTCAAGAAGTAATTAACGGAAATTAAATAGGATTCTTTATTAAATAGGATTCTAATGTAAACAACACAATATCAATTTTAAAACAATCGGATGATAACTGTTGGGGTGGGCGTATAAAAACCACAACCTCAGTATCTCCATTGATATCGTTCCATTCTATTCCACTATACCCTGGGTTTATTCACAGGGTTTTCAAAAATCAAATCATCTGCCATTTTGATGGTACAAAAAACCAAGCTACTGTGTGCATGTTTGCGTACATGTAAAAAAAAACCGTGATAGTTGGATATAAGAGCAGCACTGCTGTCCAGGCACAATTTCCCGATTGCACATATTCCAGTCAGTGAAGAAAAGTAGGACATTAAACCCCATTTCATTTCAAGGATTCAATTCATATACATGTGGTACATGTATATCATCTTATTCTGAATCTTACCTTACATCCTTCGCATGAACTGACTCCATAATGATAGCCTGAAGACTTGTCTAAACAAACGACACAAGGTCTGTAGACTCGTGGTGGAGGGGGAGGGGACGGGGAGAGTGTTGGTTCTGACATCTGATGAGGGCTTGTGAGATCATACATACTATTTGGCACATCATACACTCCACCACCTGTAAATAATATATTATATATAGATGTTGTAAACATAAAATTAAAAACATCTTTCATATGAACTAAGCATAAAGCATGATGAGATTAAAATAGTGGAATATGATAATCTGTCAGAGCTTTTATATAAGATGGGCTTCCTCCAAGACCAGTCCATGGGCAATGGCATCATCTTAAGATGGTTGCTCTCAGCTTGTAAATTTGTGTAAATAGTAAGAGTCGGATTAAAAAAAAAAACAGCGAGCAACCTTCAGGATTATTTTCTTAACTTTTTTGATTTGCTTGATTTGAGGAAAATGAGAATCCAATGAGAGATCTGTGAATTTACATCTGATTGGGCAAAGACATCATGTTTAGAACACTGGATTGATGTGAACTGGGGTCAACCCCATCTTGTTTAAAATGATGTTAAGCTTACCATTTTCTTTAGAAAGTTGATGAAGATAGGTTTGTTTCTGGTTGCACATTCCACTATAATCTGGATATACATCACGTGGGGCGTAGTTGGCGTACATAGTTGAATTCGGCATAGTAACCATAGTTGTTAGGTTATTGATGTTATCTTGGTGTGGGGGTCCTTGTGATCCCTCATTACCAACTGGATGATTTCCCATGTTCGGGTTCATATTTCCTACCTTCACACCCAAAAGTTACAACAGGAAACATGGCCTAGAACAAAAAATTATCAACTATAATATATTTGTTTACAATGTCTCTGGGTAGAAACTGAATTTTTTCGTTACATTGCCTCCTGTTACTTTGCTTTGATTTCATATCTCATTTAAAAAAACTTAGTAGTGGCACAGACTTATGAGCAAAATATGTACTTTACTCAAATCATTGGGTGTAAATATTTTAACACAACACCAATTGTGTAGTGTATTTATTTGAGAGATGACTTCTTCAACTTAAATTATAGCCGCTATCTCCGTTTTTGCGATTTTTAATACGGTAAAAACACTTTAAGTATATCCGACCAAATATGGTTCAATTCCATTCTGAACAATGAATTCTCCAATTTTGTAACGTTGCGGTTATAATGGAAATGTCCACAAGGCAAGAAGCCACAATAAGAAGGGAAGCTCTAAAGAGTAAAAATAAATATGTTACGTACCATTCATACGGTGCATTCCCTGCCTAGTGACAGGTAAAGGCAATGATATTATTATGACTGAAAAATCAACAAACTTCTAATGAACACAAAAACAGGATCTGTTTCTTTGAGCAGTTTTAAATACTTTATATATATTATGCTTGCTAAAATATTATGGCTGTTCTGGAAGAATGTTTTGGGATCAGCTGTGTTTCTCCTTCATATATTCTTCATTTTCATCTGAAAAGAGAAAGAGAAACAAAAATTCATTTAAAGACAATGTAATCTTCAGTAAACACAAAACTAAAATGTAAGAATATTATATTCTGGAAGAGTAAAAGAGGGCTTCATAAAATGGAGTTCTCTCCCTTTACCCATTAATGGTCAGTTTATAGACATAAATAAATCCTTTTTTGCACTATGAAATGAGGTTCAACTTTAACATCCTGCACTAATACTGCGCTAATGAAGATAGGCATATGCCGAGACAGCAGCTGACTCTTCATTGAACTATCAAAGGTGCTTTTACGTATATGCCAAACCCAAGGGATCTCCTGATTGGTAAGCCAGCACATTACTGACTCCGCAACAATATTACAGGAGTATCATGAAAAATAAACTTTAGGAAATATTTTCATCTAAACAGTAAATAAGACATTCTATTGCAATTGGGGATCGTGTCTGTCTACATTTTACAGGGCAACAGTTTAAGTTTTCGTGAATAAGGGCCCTGAATTAATAACTAGAGTACTGATCAGGATCAGGTCCCGATCAAGTTAAGTGGAAATACCTTTTACTTTCAGAAGCATAAAGGACAAAGATTCATAAGGTTCTTTACTAATTTTCTGTAATAAGTATAACTGAATAAATGGATTGCAAGTTGATGGTTGTCCCCCTTTAAGCTAAAAACAGGAATGATTGTACAGTACCATATGGAATTAAAACCAGTCACGTCAACGATGCCATCTCGGAATCGGAACTGTGACATATTCGAAAATCAAAGGACAACATTCCAAGTAATAAGTTTGTGTTGATCGAAATTAAATTTGCAAAGCCTTGCAGGTTTTTCAATGAGCGTCAACCCCAAGCTTCTTGTCCAAAAACGTGGAATCAAATAGAATTTAAATCCGTGGATTGGGATCCCTCTTCCAGAAAATCTTGGTTCTGGAAATAGTAATGACCTCTTGTGACCAGACGGATTAAAAGTAAGGTCAGTTCATACTGACATTATGTGTGAAGATTAATTCATAACACCAGTATATTATATATAGTATACATTAATCATATTAATTCACTGGGTGGTCAGTCAAATAATCTCATTATATTATAAACTGCTTGATAACTAACATTAATGTCTCTGAAATGGATGTTGTTTTTAATGAAACAACCAAAAGGTCTTTCCCAAAAACTACATTTAAATACAAAGCTCATTTATTTTTTAAACCTTATTATATTTCTTAATGTTGTGAAATTTAATAATAATATTAATATTGTGGACTGGTGCTCTTGTTACATTATTTTTAATTATGGGTTGATTTAATTGAAGTAATATTATAGTATTAATGTTCTATGGAGACCAAAAACATATCAAAATTCATTGGATTTAATTGGATTTAATAGCCTTGAAAAACTGTTCAATTATAAACACAGGACCCCTGTTTCTAGTATTGGATTTAATTGGGATGGAATAACCAATAGCCTTGAAAAACTGTTCAATTATAAATACAGGATCTCTGTTTGTAGTACCATCCGATTGATTAGACACTTTCCAGAATTATTGAATAATCCCTAGGAAATATGTCACAAAGGGATCGAACCCTCCTGGCTAATGAGCCTATATGTATTGTATGTCATACTCAGAGTCACTATGGCTCAACAGATGAAAAAACTGAAATTCATCTTGATGTATAAATTTTTAAATACAAATACTTTGTAATGCTATAAATAAAATACTTACATTACAAATACATCACATAAAATCTTTTGCTGACCATCAACTATTTTAAACATGTATACAATAATCAGATCAATCAAATGTAATATAACTAACACACAAATAGTACATTAACACTTCTCACTTAATAACTAATTGATCAATCTCTTGTTTTATTTATATACACACCTATGTCCATCAATACTCCTACACAATCATATATCCACAAATACACTTATAGTTAATTTATCCTATTGCCAGTAGCAAGTACCAAAATCACAATATATATCTAAACATTGGCCAACATACCTCTCCAGGCCAGCCATGTAATATTAATTTAACCTATTGCCAAGTACCACTGTAAGTAAAACATATATGTCAGTAACCTAATAGAAACCTGTCAAAACCCATTGTTTATACATATCCATTCCATGTAACTTAACATGTAGTAAATTAGGCCAATAAAAAAATATATTTATCAAAAATAAAATAAAAAGATTTTATATATGAATATAAGACATGTTTTGTCTACCTAGATTATTCAACCGTTGGGTTAATGTAAAGCAGCACATGCCTCATGGTATTGAATTCTTGGCACTATTGTTTCGAACTTAAATTATATGTGTTTTACATGTGCAAGAGATACATAAAAATCCTAGAGATGTCATAGAAACTCATTTTTTCCCTACAACTACCGTATGTGTCAAATGGAGAAATTTGAAACCCCATTCTTTATCTCATTCCATTTCTTCATTAAAACTAAAAAATAATTAGGCTTTGGACAAAAATGAATAAGACAATTTTTCTGCTTTGGCCTGTTCAAAGATCAGGATCTGGTCTGTTTGACATTTAACCTTTCCTGTCTTGACCAAAAATACCATTCCTGTTATTATAGGGTCATGGTGTAGAGGATCAAAAGATTATATACCCCTTAGAGAGCTTATACTTATCTACAGCTGTAATTTATACAGTAACATCTCTTCTATACAGACCAGAATTAAATAAGGTATTTAAGTGCACTAAGTCAAGGAAAACTGATAAAAAAATATAGTTCTCAAAAAAACCAGTCAAATAGTAAAATTCTAGCAAATCAAACAAGTGGTAACTGTTGTTATGGCATGATTAAGAATTTCCTACCACATACATGGTATATGCCACTGGCCCACTACTGCCATACTCTTCTTCACCATATGGACAGTCTACTGGCTCCAAAATCTACCAAATCTAATGACAGCTCTGTGGACTTCCCAAATTGATAGTGGTCTTTATTTGAAGGTTGGACTGTAGGCACATGCACAGAACACAATACATGTGTATAATATATATAAACCGGACCAGCAGGTCAGATTTCATGCCCTAGTTCTAATCCTATAATATCAACTGTAAAACCCATCAACAATATGACTAGTAATAATACAATCTTTCATCTTGGTCAGGCATCTTGTTGGTACATGTATTACTTACTACTAGCCTATAGTTGGTATCTTCTCATCAGCTATAAATAATCCTAACAGACAATACTAGGTATAACATGGTTTATGAGAGAGAGATAGAGATAGAGAGAGAGGCTCACTGTGTAAGACACTGGCTCACTTGGATCCTGGTGTTGACCGACAAAGTCCCTCTGGGTTTTTTTTTTGTGGGGGGTTTGGGGTTTGGCAACGACAAGTCGACGAGCATCTAGTAGTTTGGCTGGGATAAAAAACTAAGGCCCAATGTATAAGTACATGTAAAATGTATAAGTAGCTGTGCACATAAAAGAGCAAATATATTTTTCAATAATATGCTTGTGGACAGGAGTCATCTTTAGAAGTTAGAGGAAACTGGAGTAGCCAGAGAAAACCCAAGATGTTTAACAGGCAATCCTCTTTTTCACTAACAAACCTGAGATTGAACTCACATAGATAATAGCCTCACAGTATTAGACACCATGGTTTCCCAGATCATTTTTTTTTATGTATATTTCCCAACTAAACCTTGTTTATTATTAACCTTTTCATTAACACAATATGTGCATATTGCAAAACATAATGTATTATGATGTAATTCAGGATAAATATTTTTCATAAATATCAAATCAAAATAATACCGGTATAATGTCATGTTTGCTATTTAGAGTTATAATGACACACTTCGTATAAAATGCACTGGTTGTCTAAACTACTGTTCAAGCAGTATATTACTATATAGTAAATTCATTGAAAGGCAGTACTAGATCTGAGAGGGCCAAGGTTGCTTCTCACATGTCCGGTTGAATACAAGATCAAAAGTTCCATTGGATGACTGAGAAATTTTAATTTAGATTTGAAAATATGATGGTCATTCTCTTGGCTCTCATTCGGTTAACCCTGGTTGTTACATTTGATAGGATCCCTTTTACCCCTGGGTAAATATGACTGTGGCTTAAGCTATATGTTTATAGTGACGCCAGTTTGTCAGCAAATGCAAGTTCATTCATACCGATATAATAGGTTTTCAGCTTTGCTCTGAAATGTGATCAGTGGAATTTAATTTGGCTAAAGGATTCACATATAGCCTTTTTTAACTGACTGACTGTCTTTTAAAAGGACTGGTTGGGATTTGGGATTCGTACCTTGATTGAAGTTTGGATTGAAACTTATGTCCTCATACCAAAATATTTCTATTTTATTTAACTTGTGTTACCAGCCCAAGATAAATACCTCAGAATGCAGTAAATCAAATCTATTTTTCAAAATGTTCTGCACCTACTTATTTATACTTAATTCAGCCCCCCACTCCCTCAATGACTTGTCCTGGACTCCAAACAAGATTAATCCACTCTCTGTTAAAAGGCAAAAAAAAAAAAAAAAAAAAAAAAAAAAAAAACCCAAACAAATAGAGTAGGGAAATATGGTTGAAAGACTTTTGTGTTCACTAATCCATATCTTTACCCTAAACCACTGAGCTTTAGGTTCTGTCACAGTCAAACAAATGAAATTTGAAACCATTTATCTCAATGATCGTCATTTGAGTTTTGAACACAATATATAATTCACAACTTATTTCCACGCTAGAATGGAATATTTAACATTTAATAAAGAAGAAAAAGTATATCAATGGTAGATAATATCCAGGCTAGGATTCAACCTGATTATAAAGAGATCCATCAATAGGTTTTACCCAACACTTAACAGGCTGCTGACTGCTGAGATTGCTGATGTTCTTTTTTGAGATTCAACTTTCACAATGTAGTTTTCAAAGGGATTAGATATCCATCAAACGATGATCAGCTGTTATAAAAAGATATCTCCACTCTAAGAATGTTGATCTGATTGAAATTGTGCAC